CTGGAACAAGTGACATATTTCCTGAGTTTAGGTCCCCTAGAACCTGAGTGCAAATGGTTTATCTGGAAGGAGGCAGGGAAAGGAAGGCAACCAATGAGCAAGTTACCGCTGTGGGCAACTGAGGTGCCCAGTTGTGGACCTCTGAGAGTTGGCATAGAACGTTCACTGCAGAGTATTCCACCACAGGCAAGAGATCTGTAGTGTTAATCTATCAGCTCCCAGCAGTCATTGGTTGAGGGCTACTCCCAGGGAACATTAATCTCCTAGCACTTCCTGCCTGCATGCCCGATGACTGGAGACAGCCCCTAAGTGAAGGGACACAGGTGCTGGAAGCTGTGTGCACAGAAATGGTGAGCACAGGGGGATGTGGATGAGGCATCCATAGCATCTGCTGCACATGTGACTGAAAGAGGAGAAAGAGGACATAGACTTGTGGCCTCAGTAAAGACACCAGGACAGAGATGGGTTCCAAAACAGTCCCCGAAAGATCTTCGAGGTTCAGTATATCGAGCAGGGGGATAGGGCAGTGGTGCATCATTTCACATAGAAGCAACATGAATGAAGATAGCCAAACAAGGGTCATGTCTGGGGGAGGCCGAAAGGTGTAACTCGACTGAAGCACAGTGGCTGGGAAGGTCAAGGGCAGCGGGGGATGAGAGACCTAGGCTACCCTGAGGAGAACTCAAATGCCAAGCAACAGTTTTACTCCTCATTCCATAAGCAATGGAATGAGCAAAGGTGTTTGAGGAAGGATGACATTGAGTTGTGTTTTGGGAACATTAACCTGGCCAAAAAGCAAGGATCTGGATAACTCAGAGGCACGGCAACGAGGTAAAAAGTCTCAAATGCACCATTTGTTAGCCACAGCAGTGATTACTTCGCCAAGGAAAGATAAAGGGGGCTCCCTATGGCTCTTGCCCAAAGAGAAAAGGCCCCTGAAAATGTCCTTGTGGAAGTTGCTAAAAGGGGGACCAACCCCTCAGCTGCTGGGCTTGATTGTTCCTTCTGGCAGAGATGTGGGCCCACTCATTTCTCTCCTATTTTTTTTCCTCCAAAAACGCTTTGGCCTCCAGTTTCCGCAAGCTTTGCTCAGTGAGTTTAAACAGCATCTCACAGCATGGCCGAGCAATAACAAATGGTGCCTGGTGGCTCGCCTGCTGGTGGCTTAAAAAACAATTGATGACTTTTAATCAGCTGAATGAGCATGGGACAAATGACAGCATGGCCTGAATGCAGCCCGGACGTCATTGGCTGACATCAGTGGGGAGGAGAGAGGGAGGTGCCTTTCTGGTGCGCTTGGGAACAAACAAGAGCAGTTCCTGGCAGCTCTGGCTCCACGCCCCAAAGTCACAGCCTTCTTTCACACCTTTTGGGGAGACCGGGAGAACCAGCTGCAGGAGCAACAAGGGTAAGCCTCCGGAAATTACATAAACCTGCACATCATGTCATGTGATCTGCTGGGCACAGGGCTGGGGCCCTATAAGGGCAGGGCTCAGGGCCTCCAGCTGTCCCTGGTAACCTGGACAAATCGGTTTCTCTCCAGACTTCAGTTTCCCTCTCTGGAAAATGGAGGTGATAAAGGCAAGCTTGCTTCCTCTGTTAGGTTGGCCCACATGTGGGATAGCTTTAGGAGAGGGCTGAATCTCTAAAGGACTCCATTCAGGGGTCCTTTAGTGGCTTCTACCCCAGCACTACCACCAACATCCCTGCCCCCGCCACTTACCCTTACCCACGCACCAAATGGATACTCATCAAGTGTTTCTGATAAAGGAGTGCAAATTAGAGCAAGGAAGCCAAAATTGCAGGACTGAAAATGAAGGTATCCACTGAATGCTTACTACATGCAGCTACAAGTAATGTTTACAGGCCACGCCTCGGTCAGAACCATAGGAATGCAAGACCTTTATGCCATGAATCCTTGTAGACCACCAAAAATCAGGGATTAAAAATATGATTCCCAGGATTATCTGTTTTTCCTTTAGACTACTTGGACGACAGACTTCCCTGATACCTTCTGTACCCACGGTCTCCTTCCTAATTTTTCTTACATCCATCCTAACCACGCCCTCCCTCCCCTGAACTTCCTAGTACTTACTATCTCCTCTCTGCCACTATCCCATCACTGCCACCAGGTCCATATCTCAGACCCCATCCCCCACACAGAAGGAAATCTGGACTCTTCAGCATCATCCCAGGTCATGCCTGCTTGCCCACTCTCCATGCTCATTTGCGTGCTGTTTGCTGTCCCTCCCCATCCCTGGATTATTTCCCAAGTTGCCTGGGAAATGCGTCCTGAGATGGAGACCAGCATATTGAAGGTTTCCTGAAGGGTACTTTTAGGAACAACACCTGTGAGGGCAGCAAGATGGGGCAGAAGAGAAGTCGAGCTACTGTGCAGTTGCAATAGAGGCCTCAGTTGACCCCATGGAAAATTCTGGAGCTAGGATGGCCCTTCAGAGATATCCAGAATTAAGGCAAGGGGGTGAGCCATTGTATCCCCTTCCCATAGACTAGTTCCCAATTGAATACAATTGGTCCCCAAGGAGGGGGTCATTACATTGGGTAAAACAGTTCAGCACTCATCAGCTAAGGGAAATTCTGAGTAGGTAGCCATCCCCGCACTCCTGAAGGAGGTTCTAGGCAGTGCAGCACCACATCTATAACTCTGTCCAATAAAACTCCTGCTCATCCTTCCACTGGCAGCTCTGACCCATCTTTGCTATACCCCTAGCCACTACCTAACCACTTCAGACTGATTGGACAGCTTCAGAAACGTCAGGTAATTCCTCACAGCGAGAAGTTGGGATCACATTTACCATCTGAGCACTGTTCCTGGCACACAGAAGTCTATCTCTAAGTGCTTAGTGGATGGATGTTGCATGATAGGTGCCGGC